AAGGTTATTTTTGATTTTTCTCGAAATTCTTTTTGCGACCGCCATCCTCCCTGGCGTTCGGCAAAACTCTTAGCCAATCGCCATCGATGGCGGTCGGCAAAAATTAATTTTTTTCGATTTTCGATCCCGGTTTTTTGTGTTGCCTTGATATAGTAAGTACATGATATATTCCAAGTTTGGGGTCATTTTGATTTATTTTGCTATATTCCATTGATTTTTTACTGTTTCTTTGATTTTTTAAAGCTCAGATTTGAGCTGCGGTACATGAAATAATGGAATCGGCGATTGAAAATGATATTCATGATGTTTGGAGCATGTTGAGGCCGTGTGTGCGGGCCTCGCGTGAAATTCGGCCGTGTTGGTGTCGGAACACACGCCGAACCCGCAGCGTGAAAAGTGTTTTAAATTTTATAAAATCGAAGCGTAGTCGAAAATGACAAAACTTGACGGCGTGTCTTGTCATCGCCTTGAAAGGTTGTGGTAAAAATTTCGAATTTTGAGCAAGTTTGAGCAAGTTTGAGCAAGGGCCCCAAACATCATGCCATTGCTCGAAACTTTCTCAAATTTTACCCAGCCTCCGGCGATGCCATGACAAGAACACGTCGTCAAGTTTTGTCACTTTTCGGACTACGCTTCGATTTTATAAAATTTAAAAATCAAAGCAAAATAAATCAAAATGATCCCAAACTTGAAATATTGCGCGAGGCCCTCATGATCAAGCCTCAAAAATCCAAACATCATGAATATCATTTTCTGAATATGATTCATTATTTCATGCTTTAAAATGGATCAAAATCAAAGCAAAAAAAATCAATGGAATATAAAAATAAATCAAAAAAATTTGCCGATGATGATGGATGGCGTCAACCATCGAAAAAAAAAATAAAATGCTTTTTAATTGCCGAATGGCTTTGCCAATGGCGATCGGCTGGCGTGGCGGCGTCAACCATGGCACGCCTTTTGCCGAGCGATCGGCAAATCGCTGCAATGCGGCAAAACTACTTAAGGCAAATCTGCTTTGATTGCAGGAAATTCCGGTTGGCAAAGGGACCTCTTTGCGAAAGTGTCGAAAAAAAACAGGTTGGCAAAGAAAATTGCGATCGACAAAGAGCCGGTTTCTGTAGTGACATTTAGAATTTTTGTGTCCGGCTAAATGCATTGTGTGATAGAGGTTATTTCAATATTCTTGGCAAGCTTCTTTTTACGCCAAAAGTAGCTTGAAATCGGAGATGAATGCAATCCAATAGCTATATTGTGTTGCCTCTTGTGAGTTTGAATAGTGCCTGCTCCAAACCAATGTGAAACTTAAGTTGTAGGAACTTTTCACTCTGTATTCTCTTGCAAATTTTGATAGTTGGCATCACCAAATCTGGTAGTTCCCATTTTCTGTGTGTTCTAATGTTCGAAGATTTATAATATGACCACACTAAGAGTTGCTTAAGACCCACCATCCTATGTAAGCCCAAAATTTACACTCCAACGTAGTTTCATCCCTGAAAGTGAATTTATTATTTCTGCTTGGCCATTATCTAACAGATGATTTTCGCGCCAACTCCCTTCGACAATAGTGTAAACAACATCCAGGCCACGAAGCGAATTGGCATTCATACAATGCTGGTAAGTAATTTGTGTCCTCTAAACTTTATGAAAGAAAAAATAGTAGAATGCTGGACTGCTGGTAGAATAAAACCATATTGCCTAATCTAGACAGAGAACAAGAAAATCGATTTCTAGGGACTCCAGCTTACTCTACTATTGAGTTCGTGTTCTCTGCTAATCATGTGCAATTGTCATGAACCTTGGATGTTGGCCTCTGAATATCTTGATAGTTACCTGATCATGGTACAATGACTGGTTCTACCATGCAACATAATTGATTGTTCAATTTCTAAGCTGTGCGAAATTAGCCCTGCTATGAGCCTATGACCACCAATCTTTAGAAAAAATAGTTGGACTGCAAATTGATGTGGAGCACGTGCTTTGTGCCTTAGTTCTGTACTGCAGATTATAAGAGCTAGAAATATACCATTCAAGCACTACTCAATGACACTATAAAGGTGAGCAATTCTCAGAGTTAAGAACTATTTTCAATTATTTTAGAGCCAATGTCACATTCAGCGCTACATGGCCAACGCTTGATCTGTTCATACAGGGACAAATGGAACTCCAGCCTCAACAGGTGAATTACAAAATTTCAATGCACTCCAATTCATTTGAGTTCTTCAACAAAATAGAGTATGGCAATGTTGTTCCAAGTTGTCCCAGGTTTATTATAAGAACAGTAGCTCAACATTCTTCAGTTAAACTAATGGTGTCTAGATACAAATAGGTCTATTTTAGAGACAAATTTATCTTAACTGAATTTAGTAAGCAACTCCTTAAGTTACTCGTTTGTAAAGAACCTGCTATGGAAAATCTGGCAAGACGTCCCAGTGAAACTGACCTCCATTTTATTTGATCAAGTACTTATTGTGAACCAAAACATTATTTGTTTTATTAATATAGGACATTAAAGAAATCCTCATGTTAAGGACTATAAGGCTCCATGCTTTATGATGGTAGAAACTGTAGTTTCATATGTTGCAGACCATATAACTATTGTTGGTCGGGATGGGAATAAGATTCATTAGGACCTTATATATGTTTTTCAAAGGAACTATGGATTGTTCAGAATCCGCCTATCATTCATTCTTTAGTACTATATAAATGCTTTTCTACAAATGAGACAGATAGTGAAGGAACAAAAACGATATAGTTAGTAAACTAACAATTATGGATGGACATTGTAAGATGCCTGGATGGACAACTATAGTAGATGTTACCCTGTTTGCAGCTTTTTTTTGTTTTTGAAAATAAACACTGTTGAAACTTTTTGGAGTCATGATCAATTTCTGTTCCTGTACATTGTCACCAACAGCATGCATGTTTGCAGACTGTAGGTGTAATCTGATATTGGGTTATAAAATAAAGATAAGTTATGAGCCTAGCTGAATTTATCACATATGACAGCATCAAGGAGCTGTCGAAAGAGCAGGGCGGCAGTGCTTGCGGGTGTTCAACCTCGACGAGCTCGGTAGTGCCACAAACGGCCTCAGTCACACGCTCAAGGTCAGGCACATGATACAGTATGAAGTTGTCTTTCAGTGAACCAATTTCAGTACTTGAGTTTGTACCTTGCTGATACACTAATTTCAGTATTGGTATAAATGGAGTATTGGTATTACTAGGCTGTTTCTTAGCTTGCACATACAACTGTGTGACATAAGTTTTTTTTTATTTTAGATCATGAGGGCCATTTATTAACATAACTATGCCCTCTTCCTCCGTATGGTGGTGCCTATATGGGAGATCCATATGGTGCTTATATATGGTAGTCCAACCTAACCGTTTAGACAATTACAAATCACATATATATGAATGCAATGTATTATTTTTCTTTATTAGCATAATATTTTTTGGCAGCCAATGATATATGGAAGAGGACCAGCACAGGCATGAATGAGGATGATGCCGATGGTGCTTCGTGATGCTCGCCTTGGCTATGTCATGTAAGACCATTTCTCTACAACACCATCGAAGCTCAACGCATGTTGAGCACATATCTGCACTTTTGTGACAGCATGTTATGTTATTCCGTTGACAGGCAACAGCCTGGTGGAATGCCACCTAAGCCTCCACTGTGGCGACCGAAGAGATAGTGGCAGAAGTGGCGAAGGGCACATTCGGGATATCGCCCTTCATCCTCACATTGCAGGTCTTATCTTATTTTATCATGAAGTGCATGTGACTTGAAACTCTCCGATAGCCTTGTATTGCTTGCTGCCTTCTGGCTATACTGAACTGATGAACGAAGTGCTATAGACTCTGAAGCTTTGTTGGCTTATAATGCTTTTTTGGCGTATTCTGTGGACTGAGTGTTGCCGACCTTATTTCACATGAGATAAATACATGTAGACTCAATTGAAGCTTTGGCTTAGAATGCTTATTTTGCAAGATTTTGTGCAACCTAAAATTGGAGCGTTGTTGGCCTTATTTCACAGTAGAGAATTCTTGACGCGTTGAGTGTTAGTCCTGAAATTTGGTCTTCATGACCGAACCTTGTATTGACAGTGGATTTATGGATAGAAAAAAAAACCAAATTGAAAGCAACAGGAAATAAGAATAGTTGACCAAGGATGACACAACCTTAATTTTTTTTCCAGTTGCAACGCATGAGCCCCCACACACCACAGCTTATATGGTTGAAGGCATGTTATTATCTAAAATATAAATAAGGGTGGTCTTGGTATACCAGTCCTATATGAAGCAAACTGATAATTCAAAACGATTGTTAGTTCTAAAAGGTTGAGGAGTAGTAGTTTTGTTATGGTGATATGAATTTTTATGTGCGTATGCACAAATATACAGTACTATAAATACATACATTGATGATTGCAAACCATCAATGGGAATTTTAGCCATGCGTAAAATTCAATTTGTAATATTGACATTCTGAACATCACGCTCGCATTATTATTTTTGTTACAATACAACACATTCATGCTCAAATTATCAGGGCATTATTTGTTCCCGTTGCAACGCATAGAGTTGGTGTCAGTGCGATATCGTGCTTTTCGTGACCATGTTTACCTTTTGAATTAAGTATCACTCTAATATTGGTATTTAATTTTACATTATTATTATCTTATCATGCGATCCACGTATTTAGTATAAAAGTTTAGTTGTTTCATAGCAATGTATGGTCATGCTACCTAGTTAAGTACAAATATAAAATCAGAACAAACATTCGGTAATTTGGTCGGTAATTACGACCCGTGGTTTCTAAATCCAGGAGGAGGCTGCCCACCGGAGCCGCGGATTGACGAGGATTCCATTCACACCTGTCCAGAGCACCATCGCCACGTCGACATCAAAACCCACCCATCCCCACCCATCTGGCCATCTCCACCCCTTCACCTTGCCGAACCTTCCAGAAGCCCCGTCCAGAACCCTACCCATCCATGGCGGCCTCCCTCCTCTCCCGCGCCGCCACCGCCGTCGCGGTGCTGCGCGGCGTGGCTCGGCCGAACCACCTCCTCGCTCGGGCCTCCCTCCCAAAGGAAACCCTCCTTCCTCCCCTACTCCTCCTACTACTCCTCACCACCGCCACGCCCCTCGCGGTCGTAAACCCCGCCGCTTCGCCGCCGCCTCGATCCTCCCCAATCTGACGTGGTCCTCGGTTCTCGCGCGTGCAGGGTCGGGTCGGGTGGGCGGCGCGCACGGCGGAGGGCGCCGGTGGGTCCCGGTGCGGCCCGTCGCCGCTGCTGGGCGCGTTCGGGATCGCGGCGCGGTGCAACGCCACGTCGTCGTCGTCCGCGGTGTCGGAGGCCGCTGGCGTCCACACGCTGCCCCGGACGGAGCCCGTGGTGTCGGCCGAGTGGCTGCACGCCAACCTCAAGGACCCCGACGTCAAGGTGCGCACTAGTTCTAGCTGGAGTGTGGCGATCTGTGCTTGGCCTGTGAATCATTACTTGTACATCTTGTAGTAACTTGCAATTCGTCAAGTCAGTCATAGTATCGGTACCTCGTGATTGCTATTTTAGTAATCTTAGCTTAGCTGCCTGATAATCCATGAGAATTGTGTCAATAGATGACGCTGTCTGTGCTGTGAAACCAGCGCTTAATTTGTGGATGAATGGATAAATTAATTTGTGGACGAATGGATAAATTGCTTATACTACAACTTAAACAAAGGGAAAACGAAATATGAGGCTTGTTTGACACTATGGTATATACTAATACTAAGCAGGATTAGTTATATAACATATATCCATGAAGATTCAACTATAACAATGGGATTTATTTACCTGATACACTTTGTTCTGTCAAATGTGCCTTTCTTTTCATTAAGTATTTCTTAAGCTCATACTTCTGTTTAGGTACTTGATGCCTCTTGGTATATGCCTGCAGAACAAAGGAACCCATTACAAGAGTACCAGGTATTCATTCAGCTTGTTTGAGAATTTTAGAATAGATGTGTTACAACTTGCTAGTATGCCATTGAACTTGCATTTCTCTGATGATTTTGTACACATATCAAATCCCTTCGCACTCCTCTTCTCAAATTACACATCTCAACTTCAAATTAATCCATCAGTGTGTCATTCATTGATCACCACATGGCATCAGTAGGCTTACCTAACCACACTGACCTTGATATACTAGCGACTGTACCTAACTTGTCCATTATGGGAATTGCTAGGCCCATGATTTTGAAACTGTATAATGCAGATATTTTCATGCTTCAATCTTGTTTCTAGGTGGCCCATATTCCTGGTGCCCTGTTCTTTGATGTCGATGGAATATCTGACAGAACATCTAGTGTAAGTTTAGCTCTGTTGCTTGTACATTCTATTGTTAACGACTCAATATCATACAAACTCTTTATGTACTACATATAATTTTGGATTTTAACTGTTATTGTTGATTGCTTGATTCTCTCCTAGTACTATATTTATATTCCTTAGTCCTTGCTATAAATGATAAGTTCAGCTCTGTTGCTTGTACATTCTATTGTTAACGACTCAATATCATACAAACTCTTTATGTACTACATATTATTTTGGATTTTAACTATTGTTATTGTTGATTGCTTGATTCTATCCTAGTACTGTATTTATATTCCTTAGTCCTTGTTATAAATGATAAAAAAAATTATGTGTGGTGTGTGCTAAGCAGTTTACAAATTAGGTAGGCTAGACAACATCTAACAGTAAAAGTTGAAAACATGTGCACATTAAAACATGGACATCACAGATCTGAACACACACAGGTAGGTGTTAACTTATGTGTTGTGATATGGCAACTGCATTTTGAGTTTCCCCATAATTAATCATTCAAAGTGTTACCTAGTTACTGCAGTTAGTTTGTGCACTACCACTTAAGTTCCTTTCCCCATTCTTGTTGTCTATATATTTACTTTCCTTGGCAACCCTAATGATATCAAGCTCTCTAGTGGCCCACCCTGTGGGTTGTGCTTGTAGAGTTGTAGTATATGAACTTGCTTGCTAATTCCTCTGAACACAGCCTGGGTTCAGCTTGTAACTTTAGGTAGATAAGATGTTGGATGGCATGTGAACCATTCTTTGTAATGATGGTATGAATTGCCATTTTTGTTCTAATAAAAAGTGAAAGAAATACAGAAGTCAGCCATTTTTTTTAACTTCCCAGTCCTTAGACTTACCACCTTATACTGTACAGACATTATCATTTGCTTTGTCAAGGTGATAGTTTAAGCTGCTAAACATGGCATGCTATATAGTACTTGCACTTTTTGTATTTCTTGTTTATACTAACAATATCATCAGATTTGTTTAGTTGCTTTTGGGGGGGTAAGCATCTGCTTTTGGATTTGAGATGTATTGTTTTTTTCCCTGGTTCAGTTACCACACATGCTGCCATCTGAAAAGGCATTTTCTGCTGCTGTATCCGCTCTTGGCATCTACAACAAAGATGTGATAGTAGTTTATGATGGAAAGGGTCTATTCAGTGCAGCTCGTGTTTGGTGGTAAGCTTCTTTTGTTCACAAAAGTATATAAAAATTGCTAGGGTTGAGGACCAAATTAGTAGTGGTTGAAACAAGATGCAAATCTTATTTAGTCATTAATGAGTAATGACTACTAAGTACCTCTTGCCATGCAATTCGTTGTTCGTAGTTTTTGATATTTGATAGAAGTTCTTCTATGCTTGTTACCTTGACAACAGGATGTTCCGTGTATTTGGACATGATAAAGTTTGGGTGCTAGATGGAGGTTTGCCCCAATGGCGTGCTTCTGGGTATGATGTTGAATCAAGTGCCTCCAGTGATGCCATCGTAAAGGCCAGTGCTGCTGGTGAAGCAATTGAGAAAGTTTACCAGGGTCAATCGGTAATTTGTTCTATTATTTACCCTTTTTGGCAATACGTCCATTTCAAGTCACAAATGCACAGCAAGAACCTTGCTACTGCTGTTGAGCTATTGGACTCTTAGTTAAGTACGGATATTATTAGCAGATGCTCTAATTGGTGTTTAACCTCAATTTCAGCTATACATAACCTCAGTATGTTTCTCCAGGTTGGTCCAGCTACATTTGAAGCAAAGTTGCAGCCTCATCTTCTTTGGAGTCTTGATCAGGTCAGTTCTTAAGGGTCCCAAAAACTGCCTATTGTTGCCTTCGCAACTCACCGAACATGTTCCACATATTTCATACTACCTTGGTCCCAAAAAGAATGACCTTATAGGTTTAGTGAAAGTCAAACTGTTGTAAGTCTGACCAAATTTATAAAATAAAATGTATCAATATTTATGATACCAAATTAGTACCATTCAATTTGTCATGCAATATAGTTTCATGGTATACCGATTTGGTGCCCTAAATGTTGATACTTCTCTATAAATTAATCAAACTTATTATAGTTTGACTTTACTAAACCTATAAGGTGATTCTTTTTTGGAAGGAGGTAGTAGCAACTAGCAACTAATAGACGATTTTTTCAGGTGAAAGAGAACATCAATACCCAGACACATCAACTTATAGATGCTCGATCAAAACCTAGGTATGTAACTCATATTCTAATTCTTAAGTCTATGAGTACATCTTACATGCATGCAGTAGCAGTATATACAGCCTCTGCCTGTATCCATATCGCAGGAATGAGAATATTGTTAGCATATATATTTGCTGAGAACTCAGTCTAGCTTTTGCATTTTGATACTTAAGTATCTTTTAAGCAGTACACCATAGTAACACTAATACAGTTATGCTATAGAATATAGATATGTTTTTGTAATTCAAGTGTATTTTGATGCACAAGTATATTTTAACCAGTACATAAACACATCCTAACACTAATGCAGTAATGTTGTAGATATGCTTTGGTAATTCAAGTTTTGTACCTTTTCTACTTGTTTTATGCTCAACAGCCTGACATTTTCATATTACCTGATTTGAAACTTCTGTACAGATTTGATGGTGCAGTTCCTGAGCCGCGCAAGGGAATTAGAAGTGGTCATGTGCCTGGGAGCAAATGTGTTCCTTTTCTTCAGGTGGAAATTCTCCACTGTTCCATACTGTGATCAGTTCATTTTTGCATCTGGATGTTTTACCGTGTTTACACTTTACAATGGATGGTAATGGACACTTATCTGATAAATTTCATAGCCGGAGTTAATTTTCAGCATATGATACTTTGTACTTATTCCTCATTTTAACATCATATTTTTCTGCATCCGTCCTTTCATTTTAGTAAGGTGTAAATGTTGTTTTCTAGATTCATTAATTGTCAGCTCAAGTTGGTTGTATGCCAGTGTTATGTTATACTATGATTTGGTTGATTAGGTAGTTAGCATGTTGACATAGTCAGAGATCGTGTTGTTGGTAGATGCATTTGCATTGAAGGCTACTCTTCCTTATACTGATACTTCATCTACCATAATAGGACGGAGAATTGGATGTTCTTTCTGTGCTTGCACTTTCTTTGTACCTGGGCTATGCTCGGTCACTCTGGAACTTGGATGGGTGTTTCAGCTAGAAATTCATATATCATAATCCCTTTTCTCTCCATCCGAGTGTTGCCAAAGATGTTTTTGTATCTCTGTAAGTATTATTTATGTTATTGCTTTTTTTACATGACTTTCTTCAGGTGCTTGACAGTTCACAAAAGCTATTACCTCCAGATGAACTCCGTAAGCGATTTGAGCAAGAAGGTAATATTTCATCCATATAGGTTGCAAGTACCTAATTCATGCTCGATGGTAGCATCCAGTAGCCTGGTCTTATTATATTTTACTAGAAAGCAGCAAGCCTTGCCTTGCATGTGGTCCTGTGTGGTGGTTGTATCATGAAGCTAATAATTATACTGTAATATAATTAGTAGTATTTAGCTTTTGTGGAAAATAAATAGCAGTAGTACAATATAAGTATACAGATCAGTGGAGTTGATGTTGATCGTTGCCATTGCAGAGGATAATATCTGGAGTCTCTTTTTTTCCAATTAAGAACTAACTCTATTATTTTTTTTAGAAAACTCTTGAGAAATGTAGATCCACGTTAATAGCAAAAAATTACACTAAAAGATGTGATGTTATGTGTTCACAGTGCAGTGGTAGTTGTGTAGAGTACACCAAACTTGGTTTGGCATTTTTTAAGTTTTTATTTGTTTTATTATGTTATTTACAAAATTTGAATCGTTTTAGATAAATAACAAATTCGCAGGAAAATAGAAAAACGTCTTTGGGCCGAATTCAGCCCAGTAAGGCCCAGGTTCGGCGGGAAACAGGCCCGAGCGGGAGGCAGGCCGGCCCATTCAAAAGGCCTGGATTGCGGGTTGATTTTGGTAAAGTTCGAGGGCTTTTTTGGGAAAAAACCTGAGAGGAGGCCTGGACTGCGGGTTGATTCGACTAAAGTTCGAGGGTTTTTTTTGCAAAAACACCACGCCTCGCCCGCTGTGGGCCGTTGACGCGCCCGATCCAACGGCCAGGAACGGCCCGCGACGTGGCCACTCTCGCCGGCCACCTTTTGGACCCAGGATTCGTGTTTCCTCCCAGTTGTGAAAATATTAAACTCCGTATCCAGCATAGCTTCCGCGCCCTTAGAAGCCCTCTTGCTACTGTTGATGTACAGTTGTCCATTGCAATTGTGCTGCGTGTCTTTGCGTAATTGTGAGTTAGTGAAGTTTGCACAACATTTGTTGTATGCTGATTACTGGCAGTAGTGGATGGTGGTGTCCATTTTTATGGTACCTAACATAGAACTGCACTAGCCAAGTTTTAACATTAGCAGTATCTATAATTTTTCTAGTGTGATTCATTATCAGGAATCTCTCTTGATCAACCCCTTGTGACCTCTTGCGGCACTGGCGTGACAGCATGTGTATTAGCCTTGGTAAGATTACCTGGGACTTGCGCTTGGTATTTACTTTACAAAATAGCAGTGCTTCTGTAACCATTGCTCTCATTTTAGGGCCTTCATCACCTTGGCAAAACTGACGTCGCGATATACGATGGATCATGGACCGAATGGGGCGCCCACTCCGACACTCCAGTTGCAACTGCTATTTAGGCTCGTGGTGTTCATAGAGGAATCAACATTGTATTTTCCTTCTGTAATCCTATGGAGAAAGGCGATGTTAAAGTTGGAAAAACTGAAGAGGTTGATCGGAGAAATGCTATGTTAAGGTTGGAAACTGAAGAGGTCGGTTGGGTGTATGGCTGGTGTGAATCGAAGCCTCTTGGCCTTCACTGTAAATGCTGAAACAGAAGAATTGTTACATACACTGAATTATAAGATAACTTCCCTTGGTCTCTTCTCTTGGTGGAATAATAATAATAATGAAGTTTAGAAAGAAAAAAAAACTGCCGTCAATCAGCCTGTTCGGGAGGCCGTATCGTATCGTGGATTATTTATTGCCGGCTGGTTTGGCGTGAGAGAAAAACATGGTTCCTGGCTGGAAATTTACGATCGTTTCTGGTATATGTGAGCTAACTATACTTAACATAATGTACATATCTACTTTACATTCAAAATCGTCGGGGTGCAGGAGCACCGATCTTTGGTCATTTGAGCAGGGTGCCAGTGCCCGTGCTGTTGCCGCCTGTCGTAACGGAAGATGTGTGATATAAAGCATCAGGCGGCGGCATGTAGGTTGCCACCGGCATCCTCGCCGGCAGGCTTGGCAGCGGTGCCTCCAGCCGCAGCACGTTGACGGCCTGCCTCATGGACGGCCTCAGGCTCCGGTCAGGGTGCGTGCACCAGAGCCCGACCACCATCACCGTCTCCATCTGCCGGGCGTCGAACTCACCCTTCAGCCGCGTGTCGGCGGCGTCGAGGATGGCTCCTCTGCCGTACCATTCCCAAAGCCACTGCACGATGTGGATCACGTCTTCTTCGCCGTGGCGACGCACCAGGGGCCGCTGGCCGCAGGCGGTCTCTAGAAGGACGACGCCAAAGCTGTAGACGTCCGACTCGGCGTTGGCCCTGCCGGTGATCATGCACTCCGGGTCCATGTACCCCATTGTGCCGGCGAGCACCGTGGTGTGCGAGCCCCGGCCGTGGTCGACCAGCCTCGCCAGCCCGAAGTCGCCGAGCTTGGCGTGGAAGCAGGCGTCCAGCATCACGTTGCTGGGCTTGATGTCCCTGTGCACCACGCACTGTTCCCACTCCTCGTGCAGATAGAGCAGCGCCGACCCGAGCCCCAGGACGATCTCGTGCCGGACTGGCCATGGAAGCAGAGCGTCGTCGCTGGCTCTGTACAGGTCTGTGTCGAGGCTGCCGTTGGGCATGAGCTCGTAGACGAGGAGCAGCTCGCCGCCGCCGTGGCACCAGCCGATGAGCTGCACTAGGTTGCGGTGCCTCAGCCGGCTGATGATCCTGACCTCCGCGGCGTACTCCTTCCTCCCCTGCTTCGAGCCCTTCGATACCCTCTTGACGGCGACGTGGAGGTCCATGTCCTTGAGGAATCCTCTATACACGGACCCAAACCCACCTTCTCCAAGCTTCTGCTTGTCCGAGAAGTTGTCGGTGGCAGTGGCGAGCAAGCCGTAGCGAAACCGCTTTGTCCCAATCAGTTTTTTGATCTACTTTGACGTCGAAAACTCCGAGAATGCATTTTGGACTTGTTTCCTACTGAGATAAGACGACCTCTTCTAAATAAACAAGAGGATTACGACCGATTGAGGATCCCAACTTTCAATCGTCAAAAAACACATATACTAACTTTCTTTACCCTCTTTTCCCATCTACCTCTTCTCCTCGTTCTTCATCGGTGCTGCATGGCAGGAGGATCGACGACGACGAAGCTCTACAGCGGCCAGGCCAGCTAGGGCAGCCCATTGCTGCCGCACACCCCGATGGGTCCCTCCCAGACATGTGGATTTTCGGGTTGCAAGAGACCTCGTCGGCGTCTCTTGCATATCGCCGGTGAGGCTCTTCCGGCGACATGTCATAAGTATCACGCTCATCGCTGGAGACATAAGGTCCGGATGTGCATAAATCCTAGACATTGGCCGACCTAAAATTTGACAGACCCTACATCGAACATTCTAGCTCCGTACCGATGTGGGGTGCTGAGATACGTAGTGCTGGCTCTAGCAGTATCATCCACAAGCAAGGATGGAACAGAGTAACAAATGTTAACATATTAACACTATTTTCAAGCATGTCAACACTATTTTCTATAAAGTTAGCAACTTAAAAAGTTTGACTTTTAAGGATGGGAAATGTGCAATTATTTTAATACGGATGGAGTCCTCACTACTGATGCCGGCCTAACATAGTAAGTAACAAATTAAGTAGCGGTGGTGCTGAGATACATAGTAGTAGTAGTAGTGCCGGTTCTGGTCGTGTCATCCACATGCAAAGAAGGAACAGATTTTAGCAGTCCGAACGGCACCGATACGCAGGTTGCCACCGGCGTTCTTCTCTCAAGGAGGCTCGGCAGCGGCGCCTCAAACCGCAGAGCGCTAACAACTTGCCTGATGGATGGCCTCAGGCTCGGGTCACGTTGCGTGCACCAGAGACCGACGAGCAGCATGCGCTCCATCTCTTTGGGGTCAAACTCCCCGTTCAGGCGGGGGTCGGCCGCGTGAAGAACCAGTCCGCGCTCGTGCAGCTCAGAAACCCGCTGCGCCAGGTGGACGACGGTGTCATTAGGAAGAACCACCACGGGCCGCCGGCCACAGGCGACCTCAAGGAGGAGGACGCCGAAGCTATAGATGTCAGATTCCTTATTGAATCTGCCAGTGACGGTGCACTCCGGGTCCATGTACCCCATGGTTCCGGCGAGCACCGTGGTGTGCGAGCCCCGGCCGTGGTCGACCAGCCTCGCCAGCCCGAAGTCGCCGAGCTTGGCGTGGAAGCAGGCGTCCAGCATCACGTTGCTGGGCTTGATGTCCCTGTGCACCACGCACTGCTCCCACTCCTCGTGCAGGTAGAGCAGCGCCGACCCCAGCCCCAGCATGATCTCGTGCCGGACTGGCCATGGAAGCAGAGCGTCGTCGCTGGCTCTGTACAGGTGTGTGTCGAGGCTGCCGTTGGGCATGAGCTCGTAGACGAGGAGCAGCTCGCGGCCGCCGTGGCACCAGCCGATGAGCTGCACTAGGTTGCGGTGCCTCAGCCGGCTGATGATCCTGACCTCCGCGGCGTACTCCTTCCTCCCCTGCTTCAGAGCCCTTCGATACCCTCTTGACGGCGACGTGAAGGTCCATGTCCTCGAGGAATCCTCTATACACGGACCCAAACCCACCTTCTCCAAGCTTCTGCTTGTCCGAGAAGTTGTCGGTGGCAGTGGCGAGCTCGCCGTAGCGAAACCGCTTTGGCCCGGTCCTTTCTCGAACTCGTCCTCCATCTCCAGCTCGTCGCCGCCCTCTTCCAGCTCCCGCTCCATCGTCTGCCGGGCGCGCTTTCGCCGTTGGTGCAGGAGGAACCAGATTGACAAGCATAGAACTATCAAGAAAGAGGCAGCACCGGAGGCAGACAAACAGACCACTAAACCCGTGGAGACCGACGGAGAATCCGTCGGCGGCGGTGGCGCCGTCCGGTGCGGCGGCAGGGTGATGTCGAAGGCGCCGATACTGTACCTGACGTAGCAGCTGTACCCCTTGAGCGCGCCGCCGGTGTTGTTCGGGAACCTCCCCGGCAGCAGAGCGATATACGTGTTGAGGCACCAGCTGCATTCGATGGCCGTCAGGTCCCGCGTGCACTGCGCGAGCCCGTACACCGAGTCCGACGAGCCGATGAGCGGCGCGCTCTCGTTCGCGACGAACAGCAGCGAGCCGGGGGCCGTCCTGGCGAGCCGGTTCATCAGGCTGGAGCGCGCGTCCTCGAGCCTTACCTGGTCGACGGTGCTGCCCCAGATGACGAACACCTCGCCGCGGCTGGCCACGGAGAAGAAGTCGGTGTCCGAGTAGCGGAGCACGCACGCGTCGTACGCCGCGCTCACGTTCCGGCTGCCCGGGCACAGCCCGGTGATCCCGGCGGGTGCGCCGGCGAGGCACTCCAGGCACTGCGTCGCGTTGCGGTCGGCGTAGCACATGATGAGGCCGAACACCTGGTCGGCCCCCGTCCCGGCGGTGCCGTTGTAGAACCACCCGTTGTCGCCGGCCGCCGTGGGGAGCGCAGCCAGGAGCTGGTCCAGGTTCTTCTTGTACTGGCTGCCGTCGGTGTAGTTGCCGCTTGTCGAGCAGGAAGGCGCAAACGGCAGCACCGTCTTGGCGCCCTGCCCAGCTGCCACGACGAATACCAAGGCCAAGGCGGCGAGGAGGAGAAGGCGGGGGGCCATAGCTGCTAGCCGGCCGGCAGCTCTCAGCCGCCCTGTGCTGTGACTGGGACGCCGTTGCTTGCTGGTCTTGGGCACCCTCTGTTGGTCCTCCTCCGAGCTGTGTTGCTCTCTTTCTGAACCGTCAGGCGTCAGGCGTCAGCCGCCGCTGATGAGGAATCGTAGTGGATCAGGTAGGTTTTTGAGCTGTTCAATCCCTGCACGATGCAGGGAGGGACCCGGCGTCATGTGTCTTGGCGTGCAGATGCGGAAACCAGGCGAAGTTGCGAGTGTCAACAAGGAGGACCGTTTCGTAGCAGTCCGTTGTGTGCAAATGGCATGCCAGCTTCTTGTAGATTTCAGTGGTGTTTTTCTTTTGGTTCAGAAGAAAAGCTTTCCCTTCTGCGTCAGGAAGTTCAGGAGGATAGAATTCATTTGCAAGTTTCGCAAGAGTGGTAAAAAAAGTTTTGTAGTAGGTTAGTACTGTAGTACTGAGCTGCTTTGAATATTCCGCAGTTGCCGGCCTGCTTTTAGCAAGCTTGGATCAAGTCTGTTATCAAATCTGCTCCTGTCACTGTCGCTTCTTTAATCCGATTGTCACCCGGAAAAAACAGGGAGGCCATGCAGAACTACAAATGGTGACAGTGTTGGTTCCTGTCAAAATTGAGGCACATGCAAGATGGGTCTGCGTGCTCAACCAACGGAAGAGCTCGTAATTCAGTCAAGGAGAGAATAGTATTCAAACTCAGCTATGTACGATACAAGAAAAGAACGGTTCCCGGTCATCTTTTTTTTTTTTTTTTTTGAGATTACACCGGTCATCTTGACGTCTGTGTGCCTTCGTTGTTAAGTCAGGTAGCCGTTGGGACGCCGTGGTGTCGTCGGTTTTTTTTGGTCTCTGAACAATGGATACCTCTGAGTCTCTGACTCGGTCGCCAGTAGAAGAGTTAACTGAACTTGAAGCTTCGACATTTAGTTTTTTTATTACTTCTTTACATTTATTATCACTGCAGTCTAAGCTCCACGTGGGCAGATTACATCTACAGCTCGACGAGGCTACGTTATTACACATATACACATCTAAGGTTTAGGGTTTGTTTGGCACTCAACTCTAGCTTCGAGATTTACGTTGGATCTATAGTTTATAAACTAAATTAAGGTGGTTCAAATATTTTTATTTAATTTAAAGTATAAACAAAATGAGTTATGTAAATGCATTGAACATGTTTGTATTACAGATCTAGGATTTTCTAGAAGTACAGGTGGCAAACTCTAAAAAGATCAATGGATTTCCTAGAGCTAGAGCTTTATCAAACACAACCTTATATATACAGAAATGCTAAAGGACACGCGTGTGTTTTATCTTATCTTGGCACATGGATTTTGTGTCCGTTGGATGGGCATCGTGTGTCTCCTTGCCACCGCGGCATTTCTTTCTCTGATTTGGAGGGCCCACTTCGTCTGTACCATTGAAAATTGCTATCCATTTTTGAGCGCATTTCCTCTTCCTCTTCTTCCCCTCGACGCTCTACCCCGCGACGCGCTCCCAACGCGATTTCGTCAGCGCTGCGGCGATTGCTCCGGCGAACTCGTGCTTCCCCGTCGCGGAGTGCTGGCGAAGGTATTTTACAGGATCCCCGTCGTGCTTTGGTCGCTATTTTTTCCCTTGTTTGTTGCTCCTTTGCTCTTGTGTGTGCTGGATCCCATTTCGTCATATGGAGTAGATTTTGTGGATCTGTATATTTTGATGACGGTAGAGGGATGGAGATTTGGGTGGGAGATTTTTGGACGTAGGTGGATGGTGGGGATCGATGAGGTAGGGGACTCGACTCAGGGCTCGGGCGTGCCGGCGTGGGGAGCAGAGCGTGTGCTACTGCAGCCTGCGGCGGATGATGTGGGGAGCGAACATGCAAGCGGGTCGTGGGTGCCGTCGCTCCTTCGCGGCCACGGCAGCCGACGAGCCATAGGGCGCTGTTGCGAGCAGGATTAAGACCGACTGCGCTGCTCTGCTGCTGCGCTCGGCGCTAGGTAGCAGTAGTGGCTATCTCACCGGCCAAGCTAGAAACAGGACTTGGCCTTGCAAGACTGCACGGGGACACGGACGGAGATCTGCTCACCGGGAGCAGGACAGGCACTGAGCAGCTGCAGCTTGCCTGTTGAGTGTTGACGGATGGGCCTTTTTCCTTTTCAGAGGTCTGTAGCAGAACAGCTTGCATAGCCCAATCCCTGCAGTATTTGATTACTACTAGTATTTGACTAGTCCAGTCTTGTCGATTTGTTCAGCTAACTCGGTAGAGTATTCAAATGTTTGCTTATGTTCAGTTACCTGAGAGCCAACTACCTACAAGGATGTATCCCTTGAGAGGTTGGCGAGCTTGTGCACCTCACAATCTTGTATGGTCCTTCACATTAGCATCACTCATTGTCCAATTGTGATTTAACAGTGTTATTATTATTATTTCTATCTGATGTGTTCAAATTGCAGGGACCTGCCGCACAATACCGGGCTTGATTGGAAGCCTCGCTCACCTTAGCTTTCTGTAAGTTTTTCTTGTGCCCTTGTTGGAAACGCATAAATACATAGTGCTGATGATTTAAAAGTAAAAAAACTGAGAGAGAGCACATACTTACCATGCATCTCCTAGGAACCTGTCTACTAATTTCTTCTCCGGAGAGATCCCAAATGTCGGTGCCCTCAGGACCTTCAAAAACAGCTCGTAAGCACCTTTGTCCCTTCTTTACCTGCTTGTTCCTAGTTATGATGTTGGATAGCTGTATTTATTGTTGTTGTGTATTTTCTCACGTGATGCAGGTTCGTTGAAAATCTGGAACTTTGTGTCGTATCCATCCAGAAGGGTTGCCGTGGAACCCTCGGCTTTCCTGCTATGCTGCCGCACTCCGATCCGTTCTCTTCAGCTGGCAAGTCTTTCATTTCTATTCGTGTTATAGTGTTGAACTCTTTTTTCACAATTTTGGTGCAGGTGCAATGTGTGTGACTGATTGGTGAGTTATTTGTTTGTGGTTGAAGTAGATTTTTCTCCAATCAATAACAAGACATCACACTTTTCTGAATGGCATTGTGATCAGCTCGATGTCAACCTTGGCTCTTGCCTTGATACCTGTGCTCGGATTCCTATGAATTTGCTTGCTGTCCAGGAAGAAGAGCATTGGTGGGAACTATGTAAAGATGGACAAGCTAACTGTTATAGCTAGATCTTCTTTTTGCACCAATGGCATTCTAGTTGTATTTGTGGTTGATTGAGGACAGAGGATAGGGACTCGTGGGAAAACAAAAGTTTAGATGGGGGTGTGATAGCTAGATCTTCTTTTTCTTACTATGTCGTGCTTTTCTTCTAGTTGGACTTTAATTTGCATCAATTCATGTGAGACCAGCATGCATGCAAATGTATAAATCTAGTCTACTACTAGTCTAGTTAGGTTTTGGATAGCAACATAGTAATCTATGCTAGAACATGTTGGAATCTATTCTTTGTGATTTGTGCCAACACACACCTCTTATTTGAGTGCATTTTTCTGTGAACTTAAGTTTAACTTGTCTAAACTGTGAACTGGTATGAACTTAATTGTGAATATGAGGTTGCTTCAGTAGTCCAGCATAAGTTTTTTGAGCTAGGCAATTTTTTGACCTGCTTGTAGCCATGAAGAATCATGAATTTCTACTGCAAACTACATTAGAATTCTACTGAACCGTGATTTTATTCTATTCCTTTATGTAGAAGCACTATTTTGTTGATTGCACATTTATTAGTAGTAAATTGCACACTTCAACTACTGCAATTATTGTGTGTAACATGTGTAATATCTGGTCTTTATAAATAACTTTATCACTATTTTAGTTAACTTAGAGCATGCAATTGTTCTTGCTTTAGGGCATCGATATTCTTCTGTATGGGCTATTTGGGTCTGGAAATGGGTCTTTTCTGTTTCAGTGTAAGCATGAGACACTACATTTTTATGGAGTGCATATAATTTCTATTTTAATACAACTCTTCTCTTTAAAGAATAGATCTTTCGGCTTGATACGACAATTGTTTCCTTAACTGCAGTGAAAATGCTGAAGGGTAGCTGAAGGGTAGTGTATATATCAGCTGGTTTCATGATATTCTTCTCTGTTCTGGGTAAGTTTACTTGTCATGGGACTAGTATTTGATTCTTTACCAGATCTTTGAGATAATAGATTTTAAGCCTAACATGTATGATGGAACTTCAAAATTGGCCTTGTCTTTTCATAGATTTGTGCCAGCTCACACCTTATTTTTGTCCTTATCTTTTCATAGAAAAAATTGTTCGTTGTGATTTGTGCTAACATATATTGAACTTTGTTAATTGTGATTTGTGCTAGCACACCCGTCTTATTTGTCCTTGCCCTTTCATAGAAAAAAATTATCACTTGTGATTTGTGCTAACACATCTTGAATTCTGTTGATTGTGATTTGTGCTAGCACACATCTCTTATTTGTCCTTGTCCTTTCATAGAAAAAAATATCTTGTGATTTGTGCCAACACACACCTCTTATTTGTCCCTATCCTTTCATAAAAAAATTGTCCTCTTATGATTTGTGCTAACACATCTTAAACTTTGTTAATTATGATTTGTGCCAACACACACCTCTTATTTGTCCTTGTCCTTTCATAGAAAAAAATGTCTCTTGTGATTTGTGCTAACACATCTTGAACTTTGTTAATTGTGATTTGTGCCAACACACACCATTTGTCCTTGTCCTTTCATAAAAAAAATTATCTCTTGTGATTTATGCTAACACATCTTGAAATCTGTTAACATATTACATAACTGAACCCTTGATCTGTCAGACCTTTTGTTATAGAGAAGAGGCAGTCTACAGCTAACCGGATCAGAGAGAAGTACCTTGACAGAATTCCAGTAAACTCTTACCCTCATGTATGCATTGTTTTTTGTTTGTGTTGATTTACTCAAAATCCTAAAATCTTCTCTGTCAGTGCGTCCGATCTGCAGCTTGGCAGCTTCTCTTCTTTATTCTTTG